AGATGGATGAATGGATTGTAAATAAATAAGTGCAAACACAGTGATTTAGAAAATCTGAGAATACATATGAACACATGATAAACTTTGTCCAAAACCAATTTGTTGCTCACGTTTAGAAATAATTTAAATTATTGAATTATTTAAATTGGAATCTTGATCTATTTATAATGAGGAGGATCAATTTGTCCATGTAAAACTTTTATGATGCTCAAAAAATAGTATTTTTTGCAAAGCTAACAGGAAGATTTAAGATAAAATCTTTATTATTCAAAAGTTGAATAGCCGTGAAATGTTGATTTTTAAGGTGGAAATATGTATATGCATAAAAATTCATTATTCTTAATAATTATCCACTTGATTTTTGGCATATTTAGAAAGAAAATATTTTATTTATATTGGTCTCAAGTTACTATTCCAACTATGTTTAATGGGAAATATAGTATGTCCAAAATTACAACCTGAAATGTTGAGGTGATTTGACACATATTCCAAGCGGTTAATTATTTAATATAACACTGAGATAAAGGTTATTATATAGCTTTTGCTGTGTTGCAGACAATTATTACATTGTACACTAATTAAATTGCCTTTAAATTAGTATTCAAACTCATTATCATCAGTAATTCGATTGTGATGGCTTGGTTGCTCCTACTGTATACAGATCAGAAATCTTTGATTGACCAATGAATATTCTATGATGCCAGTGAAATATTATTATATTCCCTCATTGACAAAAAGATTAAAAACCTTTTTTATTTCGTCTTATCTAAACCTTCTGAGGAAATAAAAAGGCACTCAAAGAGCATTTTTCAATTGAAAAATTTGGTGACTAGAATGTTTCCAGCCGTTGTTTCCTTGATATCTACATATGTTGTTTTCAAAAGAGAAGTGTTTTACAATATCTCTCTTCCTGATATCACCATGAACCTTAGAATCCAAATCTGATTAAATCACTATTTCACCAAAGCACTTGTGGCCTTAACAGCTTTAATCAATCCAGTTAATTTCTCATATGTGACACTGGCAGTGACAACAGTCTCATCCATTTTCCATATCAAATAAGTCATTACCTTGATGCTTTACATACTGAAGCTTAGCACACACTCACCTCATCTCTCCCCCCATCTCTCTCTCTCTCTCTCTCTCTCTCTCTGGCATCATTAGCAGTGGCCTCAACCAAAGTGCTCTAATTAGGACTACCTTGACTTGCAGTGTAGCTCATTAAGAGCAGATGAGTCACTGTAAAACATTAACACTAGCATCCTGGTTTTGTGATCATACAAAAAGATTTTTTAATTGAAGTAATTATGGTGGTTGGTGCTTGAATCAAGGTCCTTTAACCATCTCATGAGTCAATTATTTTCACAGAGTTTCAATATCACATACTGCATAAATACTAATATGATGGACTGATTCTCAGCTCGTTAAATAGTTAATTCATTTAACTATGTATTGATTGTGCAGGTTTCAATAGCTGTGACATATATATTCTCTTTAATGAATACACAAGTGCTGGAGGCTGCTGAATGAAGAAGTGACTGCTAATATCAAATGGTAAGGGCTGAGGTTCTCCAATTCTAGTTCTAGAACATTTATGTTCTGCACTGTTTTGATGCATCTTTATTTGAACACACCTAAATCAAAATAATGGGTCATCACCAGGTTGGTATCTAACTTGATTAGTTCATACCTAAAGGTGCCATGCACACATGTCCCAACTATATTATATGTCTGGTAACATCATTAGAATATTGATCTATGACAATAATAAATACTTTTTGCTGCAAACTGTATAGACTGTATCATCCTCACAGATTAAGCAAAGATGTGATTAAACTGGCTGAAGCTATTAAGAGAGTAGTAGGCCTATCACCAGTGAAGTTGTTCCTCTTAATATGGGCTAAAATACCACACATTGTGACAGAAGCCATTTCTCCAAAGGCAGGAAAACATTTTTGGAATGCACACAGGGAGAAAAACCTTAACATGTCTCACTTACACCACGTGATTTATAACTAGCCTCTTGCTGCTTAAATATAATCCAGGCCACTTTTTTCTCCCAAGTTTACTGATTATGCAATCATGCCCTGCCTTGTATGTATATATATATATATATATATATATATATATATATATATATATATATATATATATATATATATATATATATATATNTATTATTATTATTATTTAACATTTTAACTTTTTAAGCAGATGGTTTATGCACTGTTGCTGATCACAAGTTACATCCTTTGACAGAAGAGATTAGTTTAGGATACCCAGCTCATAGCATTAAAGGAAATGTGAACATTATGACTTTCAAGTAGTTTTTTTCCTGCAGCATCAGCAATCCTTTTCATCTGCAACAGCTTCTGCTGAGAAAGCCACTGTCACATGGTTCATGTAACCAAGGAACTTTCCAAAAAGCGGTAGAGTGTGGGATGTTAAATAAAGTGTACACTGCAGGAATTATACAGGGTTCTTTAGATAAGACAAGGAAAAAGAAGACATTGATAAACATTTGCAAAAGAAAGCTGATTAATTTAAAAAACAATACATAGTTATGGCATTTGATTAATATAAATATTTTGTATGTAATATTTAACTAGTAAAATATCAGTTATTACAGTATCCAGCAGATGCAACAGATCTGTAGTATTTATGAGATAGTGAATGAATGAATGAATGAATAAATGAATGAATGAATGAATATATGATTGAATTAGTAACTTTATTTTAGGCAATCCAGTAAATTATATATATATATATTTATATATACATACAATATATAATTGTATGAAGAATTTAGTCTGAAAATTCAGAAAGACAAACTTTAAAAGAGAACGTGTGACTTTTTTAGGGATAATCTCTTGAAAGATATTTGTTTAAAAAGCCATCTTTGCACATGGATATAAGTCAGAGTCCAGGTAAATGAGAGGGAACCTGCTGCAGTATTGAGAGAGACGGGCTTTGCATGATTTCTGAGTCAGAACCTTCAGCTGTCAAGTTGCTATCCTGAAGCATTCATCAAATTCTTATGTGCCAAACTACCTGCAGAATTTACTGCTGTGATCAACACAGTCATCAAAACTCTGAAGCTCATTTGTTCAACCAAAGACCTCCACAACTGTTTGTTGAGAAAATGGTTACAGGAGAAGAGGGATTAGTTCTCAGATATGCTGCAGGATAATTACATAATATGGCGGAGGGAGTGCTTTCATGGTTCTGAGCACAGTTAAAAGAAAATCTTGCTTTTTTTCAGCCACAAATGAAGAAAAATATTTCAGATACTGAGTCAATGAGTTTTAAATTAAGGAATGACCATTAGAGCTGGGTAAAGTGCCCAAAAAAACTGTACCTAAGTACGAGTAGCAGCACTTAAACAGTTTTTTTTACTCAGTAAAAGTAGAAAGTAGTCAGCTAAAGAATTACTCTAGTAACATTATTTTTTTCTAAAGTAACGGTTAAAAAGGCTATTCAAGTTCACATATGAATGCAGGAGAAATACTTTTCCAATCAATTCACTCCAACTTTGTAATCATAATTAAACTTTATATATCTCACATTGGAAAAATGTACCTCTGCATTTAATCCATCTCTCCAGGGAGCAGTGTGGGGTTAAGGGAAGCCTGTGGGAGTGGGGCTTGAACTCATAACCTCAGGATTCCAAGCCCTATGCCTCAACCACTAGGTCGCCACTCCCTATATGTCTCTCTTACAGTGATCATGCAATGTCATAAATGTTGTGGATAAATCATGTAGTATGATAGCTGGTGCAACAAACACCAGCTAACAGAACATCCAACATGTCTCCTTTTCGTCATACTCCTACCCCTCTTTTCAGGGTTTTAATCTAATAACGGGAGTTCATACAATTAAATCATGGCTGCAGTTTGGTTAATAGTTTGGTTTGAAAATAAAAATGAGAGGTCAGAGAGACTACGGCCGTAAATATTAAATATTGTATGGTTAGGGTGGTTCTGCGAAGGTCTCAGAGATATGTTAGACACTGGTACTGTAAGTAAAAAGCATCATGGACTCTAAGGAACACAACAGAGATATAATAAGGTTGCAGAGAGGTTATATTTAATCAGCATTAGAATATAAAATAATTTCCCCATGTTACACATTGAATGTTATGCCTTATCCTGTTTAATCCTTCACCCAAATGTAGAAATGTATGAAAGAGATTTCTTTAGAAAGTAAATACAGGTTAAAGCTAGAAAGAGAGACATTAAGACTACAAAAGATTTTGGGCTGCGGTGGAATTTCACTGTACAACAGGACAAGACCCGAACTTATCTGCCAGAGCAACAATGGAATAGTTTATATTAAAGGCTATTGATTGGCTGTCAAATACATTTGTCAATCTGTAACAGGATTTTAAAACCAATGTTCACATATACTATCCATTTAATTTGAATGAGGCTTAGCTACTTTGTAATGTTGGACTGGAAAAGTTAGAGATGCATGAGGCACTCTGAGGCTTACTTCAAAGTGTTTGTTGTCTCATAAATATCCATTTTTCAGTCACTATCAGTGCTCCATATACTAAACTACTAATGCACCAAAGATGTGTGCATATAGGGGAATGGCTTGTCTTGTACCCTTTAATCATTCAAGATTGAAGATAGAAATATATTTAGCTCTGATGAATATACAATGTTGACAACAAAAGCTTTTTTTTTTATCAGATTAGCATGATAAACCACATTTAATTTACACATACTGGGAGAGCAAGGAAATGCAGCAAATGAGAGCTGATGAATTAGGTTATTTGCTGAACTCACTGATGCGGAGAGACAACACATTAGCTTCAACAGTGAAAATGATATGAAGTCATTAGTGATGGCCTTCACTTTTGTATCAGTGATCTCTATATATAACCCCCTCTGTTTTGCAGTTAATATTTTTCTGTTGCAAATACTCAATAAGAATTTCAATGTAGGACTAAAGCCATATTTGTGGTCACTAATATATAACTGTTGCTCTTTTTTCAGACATTCGTGGTATTGAGGATTTTCTGGACCGTACCTCTCAGCAAGGGATGGACGTGTCCCTTCAGAAGGTCGAATCTAATGTCAACATGATGATCACAGGTCTTTTCAGAACAATGCGTGTGGAGGAATTGCATCGATATAGGGATACGCTACGGAGAGCAGTTTTGTTCATGAGCCCGGCTACTGCCAAGGCTTTTATCACTGAGGTAAGGAAGGATGCTTTCTTTGTGGCCTGTTTTGCGTTTTATGTTTCATTAGATAAGTGGATAACACCATTGATATCAATTGAAACTTTTCATTTTGAACATCCGCACTTAACAATTTACTGAGAGATTATATATCATAGGATCTGCAATGTTTTGATGGGAAAAAGGGAAAGCTGCACAAGTGGGAGCAAAACACTATAGGGAGCCTTTTCTTTACCAAATATTATGATCACATAATCATATCTTATCTACTCAACTGAATAATTACTAGTAATAAGTATAGATAGTTTAATGTTAGCCTATCATCTCACTGTTAATTATATTAACCTAAAAAAATGTAAACCATAGAGGCCTTTCCTCTAATGCCCTAAATCATACCGAACAGTATTAATATCTCTTTCTCTCTTTGCTCATCACTATTTTAGGTTCCATTGTAATACAAATCAAATTAAATGACAGGATAAATTCAACTTACTTTCTATTAATTTGATATAATTTATTTTCTCACGTGATTCAACTACTTCCATTCAGCTACTGCACACTCATACCTTCTGCCCAACCATGCTCTTTATATCTGCAAAAGACAATTAAAGGAGTTCCTTTGCTCTTATACATAAATGATATGGGGGTCATGGTTGACAGCAATAGGCTGTAGCATTAGTTATGAATTCATAATTTGTAGTGGTAGGATGGGGCTTAATCCCATGTGCCATGTTCTCATCTCAGTTTAATTAAAAGTGACCTCGGAAAGAGCAATCACAATCTAATTTGGTTGGAGGCGTGACAGGGAGGGATGAAAGATGGGGTATTATTGCGTGAATATGAGCGTGTTTCCTTCAGTATATGTGTGTAAGTGTTTATACATTAGCATTATGGAATAAAGTTTTCAGCTTTTCTTTTTATCTTGCCATACGGCAGTTTTTTTTTATATACATCTATAGATCTCTGACATCTTGAGGCAAATTTTAAAGTCTACTCCAACAAATAATTTTGTGGTGATTTAAAAAATGAAATATTTTTATGTATGAAATTTGAACTTGTATTGTAAATCAAGATGTGTTTCTTGCAGTGAATGATTTATCTCTTTGTCATGACACCCCTCAGCTTGTTATGTGCAGGAAGTGAAAACTTTGTCTTTAATTGAATGACTTACAAAAAAAAAGAAGAAAAAAAATATTAAAGTATAAGTTTTGGAGTATTTTAGTAAAGGGCAAAATTTGCAATTGTTAGACAACTGGGTAAGATCATCTCAAAAGCTGCAACCCTTGTTAGCTGTTCTGAGGCCACAGTTATCAACATATGTCAATGGTACACAGTGGCCCTAAAAAAACTTGTTCATCATGGAACAACAGTGAATCAATTATAAAATAAAAATTTATTGATTATTGAGGTAATCAAAGTAGACCATGTGGTCCAGTCCAACAAGGAAACTACATAATTAAGCATTGAAAGGAGGTGCGTTGCTCTGATGAATTATGCCTTATAATTAAAAGGTCCTTTTGTAAATTGTGCTTTACACTATTGACCGCAAGGAGAATATGTCCTATGTTTAAGCCACTTCAGCCTCAGCTCTCCTTGAGGTGGTCATAATATTATACTTGATCTTTACATATGCAGCTGAAAAGAATAGGAGTCATAAGGAGTCCAAATAAGGGCAACAGATAATGGGACGTTGGAAACAGGTGAGTTAATATCATGTTGTCAGAAAAGAACTGGGTATTTAGTTGATTCAAGGAAAAAGGCAGAAAAAAGTATGGACAAAGAAATTTGCAAATTGGGACGTGGGTAGAGACAAAAAAAGGCTTGAATACCTTAAAAGTGGATATAATACAAGTCAGACTCAACCTTTATGTAGTGATATTGGTTCTGAAGAATCATTGCAAGTTTTGCATTAAGCAGCAATGCACCATGCTCAGACATACCATGATAACGCTGTGTTTAAATGAAGAATAATGATCATTCTAGTTGTAGTGCTAACTAATGGTAAACATTAACACTAAAACATGTATTATGCAAAAAAAGTTATAGAAAGTATGTTTAGTTGAACAATACGGACTCTGACAACATTTTCGTGTGTTAGTGAAACACGTTTTTTTGAACAAGGTGTTCTATTTTTAGCAGGTTGAAAAAAAACAGCCATTTGATTGAGCTGAGGGAAACAGGTAATGGAGAACTTTTCGAGTTAATGTCAGAAGAAAAGTCTGATTGAAAAGAGTAGTGGGTAAGACTGACGATCATTCTTCCTTCCTGTCAGACAGTTAGATATGAAAGAAGCAGACAAAAGGGTTAAAATAGAGACGCATGGAGATGCACAGAGATGAATGGCACATTGTTTTTCTCTTACTATTTTTCTTAGGACAACCTTCTCTCCAGATGCATTAGGCTCTGATGGTAGATGTGAACTGAGAGCTGATCCAAATGAGTCAGAAAAAAAGGGAGACAGGTGATTATAGGCATCAAAGAATGGAACACATTTATAGTGTGTGGAAATTCCAGAAATTGGTCTTCTCAGACTGCAAAGTAGTGTTTGCTTTTTGTTTTATTAAAGCATACTTCAAACAAAAACTTCAAAGTCACAAAAAGCTCCAACTTGATACGTAACTGTTTTTAATATTTAGCTGGGCGTTTTGATATAAAACACAAGAGGGGGAAAAAAATAAAAATAATAAATAATAAATGTCTTTATATGCTATTTATATGATCAGTGGATCCTGAATTGCTTTAACTTTGGTTTTAATCATACAGTATTTAAACAGTATTTAAAAAATTGAATTGGAACAAAGGTTTTAAAGAACACAATAATGATCAAATGATTAAATATATTGTCAGGACTATAAATTCGTGAGATGGGGCTTCCACCAATGGTTTTAAAATGAGAATATTTATTTATAAAGTTGATTCATATTCACCTGTGCAGATAGCCACAACATCTAAGAAGGTTCTGTTGTTCCACTCTATTGCTTTGAGGATAAGTCGCTCATAGAGGAAAATCTATGCTACTTGCATTTTTATCTCATTCTTCCAGACATAACTCATGTCTCATGAACAAGAGGTGAATGTTCAAAAACAACCCAAAAACAAAATGTAACAAGCTTTTTCTTTACTACAGTCAGATCAGCTCTTCCACTACCGCAAGGTGAAACCCTCTGTCTTTTTTTTTCTTTCTTATTTCTTGTCATTTGGGCTGATTTTGTGTCAGTGCATACGTGAGTGTGTGTTTTTATAAATGGGGGATGATACATGACATGCCATGGCAAAACCATGACCAGGTCTACAGGGATTTCCAGTCATGTTAAACTGGATGTGATAGAAAAGAGGAGATATGACCATTTGAAAGTTGGCCTTCTCCACAGTATCTCATGGAGAAATCAGCCTTCAAAAGCTTTTAAAGCTACAGTGTGTAATAATTACAGGGATATACAGTCAGAAATGTAATATATTATACATAACTATGTTATTTATCATCATCTACGAGCTCAGCCTCTTAACCTTAATATTTGCGTTGCCTTAGAATTCGTTATTTATAATTACATAGGAGTGGGTCTTGCAGCCATGGAGGCAGACATCTTTGCGCTACGGCAGCGCAGAGCCAACAAACTAGCGATTGCGAGATCGCCAAAACGTCACAACGATGTAGAAAAAATAACGGGTATATTTATTATCTTAAGTCTACATGAAATCTATACCCTACACAGACTAATGAAATACTATCTGTAAAATTATCTATGTAAACAAACCTCTTCACTTGAGAAGGTAGGTGATGCGGACGTCGTGGAAGACATTTTGTCCCGTAACGCTCGCCGTACTGTTGGGGGGGAGAAGCGGTGGGGGGGAGATGTTCATGTTGCTGCATTCTGCAGTCTGACAGCTAGATGTCGCTAAAAGTTACACACTGTAGCTTTAACTTGAATAACTTTGTGTAGCTAGCTGTAACATGATCCCCAGCAGTGCTCATCAACAGAGGCTTCATGTCAACAAACTGCACTAGCTTTCTTTGTACAAGTAATTCAGAGCAATGCTCTATTGTATTTGTGTTTCATTTGTGTGTTGCACAGGCAAATATTTTTCAGATGTTTAAAAAAATAAGATGTAACACCAAATTTAACAGTGACACAAACAAACACACACCCACACCAACAAAATCTTAAAATCTTGACATTTACAAAACTGCTAAATGTCAGCTGTTTAAGTTCTTTATCTCTGCATGCTTTTGTGTCTGTTAGATGCATCATGACTGCAAATTAGTCTGAAATTAACATGTTGGATAAATTGCTATTCCTGTTTCTTTTAATTCTTACTTTTGTTTTCTTTTTAGCTATCATTCACTCAAAAGTAGGAAAAATAGACTGATAAAAACAGTTCGAAGGTTGGTGATTTGAATTTTTCAAAAGATGCATCAAAAGGCAGCAGTAAGCCAACACAAGGAGAAAAAAAAAAGTCTGGCCCCATATATGGGGACAGCGATCCTTGCATCCTGTGCCACAGAGCGACAGCCATGCACATGGGGTGTCTTTGTGTTGCTATAGCAACAAATGCTTTCCTTCTCCTATGGAGAGAAAAGGGCGTCCCATTCTCATTTTTTGCCCCCACCTTCAATCAAAGGACTTCTTTGGAAGTGAGACTCCATAGTGAAGGGGGAGCGCTTAGGGGTGATTTGGGATTGAGCCTAACTCCCTTCTCTTCTTGGTGAATTTTCTTCTTCTCCTTCTGATTTTATAGTAGTTGTTCCAAAGTTTCCAGCAGTACACAATATTAATAAAAACCTGTATCATGCTTGTTGATTATTTTAAGGGTACTATTTAATCCCATGTTACCAAATATCATCCTTGAAATTATATCCTCTTCTTTCATTATTGTGTTGCATTTCCTAAATTTACCAACTTTCTTTTGGATGTGGTAAAGTCCTATTGCTCTTGCCATTTCTTCTCAACATAGGTCTTACGTATATTGCCTAATTTCTTCCTTGCTTATTTACACATCCAAGTAAAAAATTTTTATCT